CGTGTGCTCTTCCGATCTGCTTCACTTTACGTGCCTTTTACGACTATTTACTGACTGTCAGGGAGAAAAAGGATAGTTTCAATCCATTTTTAAAAGTTTTTTAAAGTGATTCTATTTTTTTTATTGTATCCAAATCCTCTTTATTTAAAAATGGCAGGCAAGAAACTTTTATGTGTCATTTCTCGCTGTTTCTCGCTTATGACGTCACGATTTTAATATGGCCACGGTGACTAGACAGGAGCTTAACAATTGAATGCCTCCCTTTCTCTTTCTCCCTCTCACCTTGCATAGCCGTATTGCATTGGTGTAAGCTTTAGCGACCGTATAGAAATGAATCGCCTGTACCACGTTATTCTTCGATTCATAGTGTGCAGCAAGATGGTATGCCGCCGCAGCGTGATTTGTTCTAGTCACTAGCTCACACACTTCATCCTCCCTGCCGAAGTAACAGAGCAGCCTTGTCATCGACAAAGTATCCTTCGCTTGCTCGTAAAGTTGCAAGGCGGTCTCCATATCGCCAGTCGACTCGGTATATTGGGCATGCCAATTTTTAATCTCTCTGTGACGATATTAATCTGACTGTATATTGTAACTAATTATCTTCTAATCAACGCATTTAATTAATACTGTTGAATCTATCACTTACGGTTCTTCGGAATTATTCAGGTATGTGATCAACTCTCGAGGTCTCATCAAAAGCATTCTAGGCACTTCAAATCGATGGCAATCGGCTTTCGTGTACATATCGATAGCTTCCGCCACTTTACTCTGCTGCTCCAATGCGCGAGCGTAATTATAGTAACTTGTTTTTTCGCGGATCTTGTTTTCATTACTAGCTAATTCGATCGCCTCTTTGAACTTATTTTGTGCTTCGTATAGCCGTCCCAACAAATCCAGACGCTTCGCTTCTCGAAATAGTTGTTCGGCATCAATCTGTAGTTTAGAAATTATACAATCAATACAATCAATATTTTTCATATTGCTCATAGTATTCATTAAAAACATGCATAAATCAGTCATATGACTGATAAGTTAATTTAAAAGTTGCTTAAATAAAAAACTGACTTAGTTAAAAGTTGTGTTAAAATTAAATTATAATTAAATTAAAAGTTAATTTTAAAAAGCATTTATATTAAATTAAAATGTAATTATTTGAAGTCAGATTATTTTAAACTAAAAGACAATTACACTATATATTATCAATTAATATTTTATTTGTAAGTTTATAAAACATGAAAGAGATATATTATTTTTTACTATATTTTTTTAATACAAAAAGATAATTTTTTCTTTAATTATGAAAAAAGATAATGATAATTAGTCAATAATAGTTAAAGAATTATACATAAAAACTACAGAAATATAGAAATATAGGAAAAGATAGTAACTATTAGGCAAATATAATAATTATAAATCATAAAAGAATATCTGTAAATTGCATATTAATTAAATAACATTTTAATTAACGAAAGTTCTTTTAACTAAATTTTTCTTTTTTCCCTCTTTTCAAAACTTGAGAAAAATGCAAACAATTTCGCACTAGCAAGGTATCATCTCACTCATTGAATTTTTGTCTAATTGTTTAATGTTTAAAATTTTATTTAAAAAAAAGAAAAATTGATGTATATACAATAAAAAAATTTAACGTAGAAAAAAGTTAATAAGTTAAAGTTGATGTGTTTTACAAAAGTAGTTAAAGTTAAAAATTAACTAATTTGAGATTAGTTAACTAAGTGAAAAGTTTTTAAGTTTACTTTTACTAAATAACTTTAAAGTTTTTATTTAAATTAATTAACTAATTGTAAGTTAAATTAAACATTATTAATTTTTTAATTTTATTACTTTAAACTTGTAATTATTGTAAGTTACTATCCACAACCTTAATCCATTTCTAAAAAAAGCATGTCGATAGTTGACTCTATCGAAATCTCGAAAGTCTTGAAATTTATTGTTGGCTCTTTTCCGCGACGCTGATTCGTTGTCTCGCTATGCTTACTTTGTGAGCGGCTGTCATTGCATATTTTGACAGATGCGTGCATTGAGATTGATGTGTAATTGTAAGCTATAGTAAAAAGTAAAAAGCTAAATAGCACGCACGGAGCGCTAGTATTTAATAACTTACATGAAGGCCGAGTTCGACGGCCAAAATTCCTACTTGCGCTTCCAAACTTAAAGTATCATCTTGCATTGCTTCACGTAGAGCCCGCGCAGCATTAGCTTGCTTCATGTGACCAAGGCAAAGAAGAGCCATGTTTAGTTGCTTCGTTTTCACGCACATCTTGGCCAGACTCTTCCAGACAGCTTCGTTCTTTATAGATTTAATAGCTTTAAAGGCCTCCTCCATATTCGCCACACTAATATGATAACTAAAGTCCATCACCGCTTTCTTGGTGATGGAATCGCACTCTCCCAGTTCCTCAAAGTCTCTCATTAATAATTGCATAATCTTGCTGCTTCTATTCAAGCTCTTTTCGGAATTTAGGATAATGATATGTGGTGAGTGTACACCTAACAATCGACAATTCTCATCAGTGATCGGTTTTACATCCTGTACAACGATACCATGATCCGATGTCGCGAATAACGATACTAGTACTACAGACGCTTGTGCAATCTGCAAAAGGATATTATAATTTATTACATATAATTAATCATAATCAATATGCCAATCATTTTTTTAGACTTAAAATCTTATAATTCATAATCAGTTGTACACAAGATGTTCCGCAAGAAAATTGACAAATGATGATTATGAAAATAATATTCACCTAATAAAGTTATAAAATAATAAATTCATCTAATAAAAGTTATAACTATATGTGGTATTTTTCGCCTGTTAGAATATTAGTAAAATTTTCTATATTTCGATAACTTGAACCTCGAGAATTGATCTGTAGTATATCTAAACTTTTTCACTTACAACTAGAATGACTTTTAAAATATATTCTAAAAATTTGTAAAAAATGTCCAAATAAATTAATAAGAACCGGTTCTATCATTATCCTGCTCGATTTCATTATTGCCTTGTTTGAAGTTTTATGTACAATGATATACGGTAATCTGAAAACTCGTCAACAGTTAATTGAACAGAATAATAAAAACTGGATAGCATTCGCATTAAACTTATTGATAAATAAATTAATTGATGGCGATTTATAATACGAATAGTAGATACGAGTCATAGTTTAAAAGTAAAAGTCATTTTGAACAAATATATAAATATAATTAGAATATTTATTTAATATTATAAAATAATAAAATTTACTTAACAAAAATTATAAATAAATATTTTTGGCCTATTACAATATTAATAAACTTGTTTACATCTCAATAATTGAGGCAAATTATAATATTAATATCTGAACTTTTGCTTAGAATGATCTCTGCAACACATTCTAGAAGTTTGTTGGTTTCTTCTTGCGAATAAAAAGTAAATTTTGTATTAAAGAAAAAACAATATGTATCTTTATTAACAAAGCTATTGATGTTGTTTTAAAGATACTTTAATATTTGGCATTAGTCTTAACTAACATCAGAATCGAACACCATGTATTGTCATTTTTCCTTTGGTACCCACTTGTATTTTAATAGCATTTTAGTAGATATATTAGAAAAATCGCACAATCACATTAATAATTTCAGCCACTTTTATTATATGTATGCACTAAATAATAAGAGTGCAAGAGAAATTGGAATAAGTTGGAAAAGTTTTTGCTAGTAAAATTAGCGGATTTAAAATAGTGTATAGATATTTAATACGAAATCCGACTGTAGACAACTTGGTAGACATTACCTGATCATTGTCCTTATTAAAGCTCTTAGAATCGCGGCTTTCCAATCTTTGAGCTCGACATACCAGCAGCCTGGGATCCTCCACGTCCCAACAATGAGCTGTGACCAATCTTCCTTTGCACTGTGCAACTCTAAAAATAGCATAAAGTAATTGAAGTATTATGTCCTTGCATATTGCACTATATTTTAACGTCAGATTAGTAGAACATGTGATTAATTTTAAATAAATAAATGTATGTGTTCATTAGGGACATACCCAATCGATTAACGGAAAATACATATTACTGATAAATATTAATTATTATCTGTAATTTGATGCGGTTGCATTGAAATTTCTTAGCTTGTTTACTCACAATATGGAGTCGTCATCAACGATGTCGTTTGACTCGCCGAAATCAAATTCATGAATTTGATCGCTTTCGATGTCCCAGATATATAGAACTGAACTAGGCATGAGATTTGCCATAGCAACAGTGATCGAAACGCAACGACAATCCGAATTACATCTGGCCTCAATGATTTCGGCAAAATCGCTAATGGCCTCGTACGTTGCCATGGCGCGGGTGTGTAGCTTAGCCTCGTGTTTGCCCAGATTCCAAATCTTTAGGATGCCGTTCAATGATGCTACAGTTAAATAATGCCCTGCAAAGTGTTGTAATAATAAGTATAATATTTATAATGTAAATAGGTAATAGGAATTTGTTTGTCGTTAGAGTTTTGGGTGCAGGATTGCCACAAATTCTTCATTCTAAAATTCCATGACTTTTCCCTGACTTTTAATAATATTAAAAAATGTTTTTTGTATGTTCGTTTAATTTGAAAACTATTTGAAAACCATTAAATATTATATTAAGTGAGCAATTTGATATAGCAATGTAAATAACAACAGTAATAGTAATTTACATTGCTTGCACTTAATTGTTAAGTTGCTAGTATTTTCTTTATCTTTTTCTTTTATATATGTGCACAATTCTTGTCCTCTGCTTAAAATACAAGAAACATGTAAATATAGATTCTTTTTGATAAAAACTAAATCCTGTTTATTGGAATCTCCGACTTGCTATTATACAAAAATTTACAAACTTGAAAGAAGAATTACAAAAATATGCAAAATCAATTTTAATTTTATTAATTTGTTCACAAGTGACACAAGAAACTTACAAGTTAAAAAAACAGTTTTAAATAAATTTAAAATTCCAGATACAAATAGTAAACAAGTTGAAAATTCTAATGCTCTTAGTGAAGCATTTTAAACCTCTACTAAAGAGAGTTTACATTAGCTAACAAAACTGTATAGATGTATAATATACGCATATTAAACTTCTTTAAATCTAAAAATTTTAATTTTCCAGAAAATTTTGTAAAATTCCCTGACTTTTCTCTAATTTCCAGTTTTGTGGCAACCTTGAGGTAGTAAAAAAGGACGCTCTATTCAATTCAAAGATTTTTACCTGTGAGTTCCATCGTGATCGGCTCGCCCTCCTCTGGCAAAGTGGGAAGCGTCTGAATGACGGAGCCTTCAATAGATCTCAGCTGAATGATCGTTGGGGTCAGCACGATTAATGTGTGCTCATAGATCAACATCTTTTCCGTATCGCAGCTGAAGGTCGTCAATACATTCGTATTAAGATTAGCACCTTTGTTTATACAGTTGACGACGATCTGTCTGCCGGAAGAGACGGTGATGTATTCCCTCGATACAGCGACGACCTGCACCTGGATCTCCGTTTTTAGCGTATACATCTGTCCATCCATCTCGAGTAGAATCTGCGTCGGGGTAAGCTGGCTCGCGCAAACACCATCATTGTACACGGCACACATCGGTTGCTGATGCAAGATGAACACATTAGTGATACAGTTAACAGCCAGGAGAGAATTCCGTGATAAACTGACGCCCCATGTCAGTTGCTTCACTGTGCCGTGAATCGCGCAGGATTCTGGGACACTCGGCCAGGCATTCTCATCGCAATCGGACACACACTTACGTTTCCATAGGTAGATTGTACCCAAATTGGTGCCGGCGGCCAGCGTATCTGAGAACCGCGGAATGTTATTTAATTCACTGTCTTCAAATTTACTTTAATAAAAATATTAACGATAAATAGTGAACATTGTACCATTAAGTACTGGTAAATGTTTATGAGACACTAAACTCTGCATACTTGATCAATTCGGATAAGTTTGACTCATAAATTTCGAAAACACATTGATGTCTTACCATTTGCTTTGCAAAATGCCAAGCTGGTACACATTTCCTGAGGAGTGGCGACGTTTCCATTGGATGAATCTGGAGGTGCCAGGACGTATGTATCGCCTGTGTGAAGATCCCAGCATCGTACAGCAAGCTCTCCTGTCAGCACAGCCAACGTGTTTCCACTAATCCAACACAAGGTGGTACCAGTGGTGCGTGAAGCATCGCTTCTGCCACTTAGTTTTACCTGGAACAATACGTTGCATAGTAGTATAATGTTGTACTTATATTGTTGTTATGTATATAAAGTAGTAGTAAAGTATTCTAAAAAATTTTAAGGAGTAATTCCTTACATTAATAAGATGAAAAACTTGAAATGTCTAAAATGGCTTAGTGTCAAATACAAAGTGTCAAAGTTGAAGGAAAAATTTCGTTTTTTTTTTCAAAAATTTTGAAAACTACTTGGGTTATTCTGATAAAATTTTCTGCATGTTGACGTCGCAAATCGAAGATATTTAAAAGAAGGGGTAGTTGTATATTATAAATTAAGAAACAATTCTATTGTTTATATCATCTTCAAAGTGGCATCTTCTTATGTTTTCATTATTGTAAAAATAATATATAGCCCCAAAAGGTACAAGAAAAATGTAAATCAAATCCTTTCTATGGCTTACATGCTAAAATAATATTAAAGATTTTTCTGGAATAATATTAAAGATTCTTCTTCTTCTGTATGACCCCAAAATGTAAGCTTTCTTGTCCTTCAAGTATACACAGGACGTCATCAAAATAATTCGAGTGTTTTCGAAATTTTTGGAAAAAACGAAAATTTTCTTTTAACTTTGACACTCTATGTGTCTCTCCTTGAAACTAAGCCGTTTCGGACATATGATTATATAAAGTTTTTGTTTTGAATTAGTGTGAGGAATTACCCTTTAAAAATTTTTAACATATTTAACTACTATCCTATATATGTAAATTAAATCTATATTGTTTTATTTTAGTTAAATAGAAAATTTATATTGTATATATAACATTATTTGTTAGTACGATATTATTTCTGTTCAGAATTAACAGAGAAAACTACATTGTGTCACATCAATTCAAATTCTAACGACCAATGTTATTATTTTTTACATTTCTTCTCGACGAATAAGTACAATTTGCTATTATTTAACATTAATTATCTCTTATATATATCTTCATAAATGAAAACATGTATTTTCTCTGAATATTGAATCTGTCATGGCTGACAATAAAGAATATAATAAATAATCAATGATATTGATTATTGCTGTAGAATTTGAATTTGTCATGTAAAGTATATTCTTTACTTTTGAATAGAAATAATATACAGATGCAGTAGTGATAAAATTCAATGGCTAAACCTTTGTCAGTTCAGTGAGCTCTCCGGTGATTGAATCTACTTGAAAGTGCCCAATATTCAATCCCTCGGTCATAACAATGATAGAGTCTCTGGTCTGATGATACAGTAGACAGTGCAACGCTGCGCCATCAGTACTAAGAACTTCCTTGCACTGTCCTTGAGCGTCGACAAAGTATATGATACCATTTGTGGTACTGATGTAAAATGAATGATTGTCGCGCTGTGTTGGAACGGCTGTTGGTGCAGCAGTTCTTGGACGCCAAGAACTGAACAAGTCCAAGGCTCTCTCATCACCAGCAACTGCTGCCTTTGCCAAACCACTGCAAACGATAAATTGTCCAAATCCGATCAAACAATCAAGAAAGAATATCACAAAAATATTCATCTGCAAGATTTACTTGAAACAGTTTTGAAATTTGGTACTTTCTATTATACTAGCTTGCAGCGATTGTAAAACAGCTACTGTTATAAAAATAATATTAAATAACTAAAATATTAAAATAATAATTAACTAAAATAAAATAGATTTAATTTACATATATAGAGTGGTAAATATTTTAAATATTCTAAAAGATTTTAAAGGGTAATTTCTCACACCAATTCAAAACGAAAACTTTATATAATCATATGTCCGAAATGGCTTAGTTTCAAAAATAGACAGAGAGGGTGTCAAAGTTAAAAAAAAATTTTCGTTTTTTCCAAAAATTTTGAAAACCATTCGAGTTATTTTGATGACGTCTTGTATATATTTGAAGGACAAGAATTAAAGCTGCTTTACACAATTTAATCTGCCTTTGCTCGAGTTTTACCTAATGTCAACAGCTGGTTTTAGCGGAATTGTTCTGAACGCAATTTGCGTAAAAGACTCCTTTAGCTCGTGATGAAACGTCATGAACAGCTGTCCTCTGGAGTCTATCTTCCATCCGACTATAGATCCACCAGTATCTGCAGATACTAATCGACCGCCGTACTGACTCCACTGCAGAATTGTTATGGAATCTCGATGAGGGGTCACTATTACATTGAATTCCTGAATTCCAGTGTCCCCTGGCCACACCTGATGATAATACATTTTTTTTATCCCACGACAACAAAGACTATTCTTTGTAGCCTTCTATAGTTTGGAATATTGCAATACTAACGCGTAACTCTCCGTTCTCCCATCCTGCCGCCAGCCACGTCTTCTCAGGATGCCATCCAAGAGCGGTGACTTGTGCCACTGCGTGTCCCGGTGATTCAACGTCCTGCACCGGTTCACCTTGATCATCGTAGATGGTTACGAAGCCACCCTTGTCTTGAGAATACGCAGCGACAGCTAATAAGGGATAGTTATTGTGCCAAGTTGCAAGGGTGCTTATTGAAGCACTTTCTGGATTTTGCACTCGTATATCAAAGTACAAAGACATTGTTTACCACAAATGTACTCGTAGATTCAGTTGCAATTCAGCATCGTATAAATCAGTACAAATAAGTGCATTCACATTATTTATCTTTTCAAAAATATTTCGCATTATTAAACTAAGGCATTTGATATACAAATAAATTATTCTTCTTTCACGTAGAGCGCAATGTATTCTAATGTATATTATGACAGTTGACATCAGTTGTCATGGAGACCAACACCAGTAATGCAACCATTTTTATTCCAGGTTAAGTTAGATTAGACGCAAAGTGAGGGCAATTTAAACGAGGCTAATTTTATCTTCTATACCTGTTAATAAAGACAATGGTTTTTTTTATAAAGCAGCAAAAAAGCAATAACGTATTCTTTTTATTAATGTATAACAATAATGTAGGATCACCATAAGGTAAAATATATTTTACGTGCCATCATATACATCTTAGTTTAGATCCAAACTTGATCTTCAAATTACACAATTCGGCTTCGAGTGAGGTTATTTTCTAAAAGCACATTAATTATCGTTAATTATTTATATTCTTCTATGAGAAAAAGATATATAAATCAATTAAAAATTAACTCTGATAGAAAAAATTCTCGTATCTCATAATATTTTTCAAGAATTTTTTCATATTTATTCAAATTTATAGATTTATAAAAAAAATATCTTGATCTTCTTTAAATTTTATCTTATAAAATAAGATTTTATAAATTTTCTTCGAAAATTTGTTTATTTATGACATATATCTTATTTATTTTTAATTTATTAATATGTTAAATATTTATCTATAATATTAAAATTTAGGAGCTTAAAATAAGAGTTAAAATAAGAAATAAATAAAATTTGCATGTAACATCAGAAATGGAAATACCTTAAAATACTCTTGTCGCTGATTTTCAAGAGCAGCTGTTAACAGTGTTTTATATTTCCCTTCTAAAGATTCTATTAGCTTACACAGTTCGTTCTGCTTCTCGGAACATAAAAACAAACACAACTCGCTCTTCTGTTCTTGGAATTGCAATTGCAAAATCTTATTCTCGAGAGTTTTATTCTGCAATTTTGTACAAATTAAAAGTCTCATCTCGTATAATCCATTTTGAAAAAAATAATCAATATTTCAAGGAATAATTAAAATCCTCGAGTTTTATGTGTAAATTATTAGTGTAAATAGATTATTCACACTGTGTGTGTAAATTATTAATGTGAATAAGCTATTTCTCATAAAAAAAGATCTCTAAAAAAAATGTTTTTTCACATTTTTAGTTACTGTAATAACGTGTTGTAACTTCTTCTCATAAACATGCTTTATGATGTCATTCAGCTTCCTCAGTTTTGCTATGGTTTTCTTGAGCATTCGAATTTTCCATGCAAGACTTTGAGTCTGCGCTCGAGTTGTCAAATGTTTAATGCGATTCCGTAATCGAAACGCTTCGTTATCCACCGTTTCCCCTTGACATTTCGTTAACTCTTTCTTCAATCGCTCATTTTCAATCCGGAGATTTTCGAGCATAGCTATTAACACATCGATACGATATTTGCGAAGCTTTAAATAATTTCCTTCTATCGTATTGTCATTGTGATGACACGCAGCATGCACACTTGAGCTCGAATACGAATCATGAACTTTTAATTTGTCTCGTATGTAATTCCTTTGATCCGATCTTTGGCTTAGCGTCAAACAATTCTGATGGTTTCTGCCATGATCGGATAACTCACTCAAAGATGAGCTAATGCAAACCTGATAAAAATAAAAATTACAAAACACTGTTCGTATCAATAAAAGTTTAATATAGCAATAAAAGCGATTAATGTTTAAATTATTTCATATTATTTATATTTTTTGGGTTTTTTTTATGGTATCAAAAATTTCAAAAATATTCTAAAAATTATTAAAATGTCACTTTGAATTGAACGCTTCTTGAAACAATTCTCGAAACGCTTTCACACTTTCACATTTTCGAGAATGTAGTAAAATATTTTGCATTATCCTGAAAAGAACGCATAGAATGCAAATAAAGAAATACTGCGTGACTAGATGGCAGTGGCGTTAACAGGTTATCAGATGGTTCAGTCTTGAATACTCCTTCGAGCGTGCCTGCTCTCAACTGTCGACAGAGTTCCAATAGATATTCGTTTCTCAAGTTACGTTGTGAGATAGTAGAGTTTAATTTATCGAGCCAGATCCTGCATAAATGTGCCTCTTCCACGGATCTCAGATTCAATATGTATGTTCTAACGTGCGTCAAAGTCCGCTTAAAGTGTTCGTCCAATTTTAAAGCTTCCTGTTCGTCGCGCTCCTTAACTTTTGGCATGATACTATGAACTTCTTTTGATTTTACAAGCTGACAACTCGTAGGTTACATGACTTTGATACCATCATTGAAGACAAAGGAGTTATGAACAACTGCTATCTCAAATTACTCTACAAACATACGAAAAACATACATATGAAAAATGACGCACTGTCAATGTGTAAATAATTGTTGTTTCAAAAGAATTAACATATAAGAATTGAAGTATACATGCTCTGCAATCTGCGATTTATTTTTCTAATTATTTTATATTATATGTATTACATTTACTCTAATTTTTTTATACAATATACTAAACATTATGTTTATAAACTAATGACTACTATTGTTTATCACAAAAAATAGAGATGTTATATACAAAATATGGAATAGATTAAAACTAATATAAAGTTAAAAGTTTGCTTTACCTATTACTATGACGAAATATAAAATACATTTATGCGTTACAACATAAACGTTATTAATATTTTCTAATATATGTGATATATAATTACATAGTGCACGTCTATTTACACGAAAAAAAATTGTAAATTATATATATATATATATATATATATATATATATATATACATATATATAAGCATAGATGTATTATCTTTCATAGTACATGTATTTGTTTCTTATTTCAAGTCCATTAATTTCACGATCCTACAAATCTGCGCTAGGAAAGAGACATTTGCTTATTAAAAATTGATGTTTTGCATTTGGATGTGTTTGAAATAAAAATAAGGGGTTAAATATCGGTTGTCCCTTATTCATTAAATATTGTTTACATTGTTAAATATTGTAATTTAACCATTGTAAAATTACCCTTTCATAGCCAAGATATCACAGAGCATCTCATATATCGACAAAAGTTTTCTTGCTTCTTATATGCAGTATTAAAATAATTCATCTCTTCTTTAGAAAACTATATATATTTTTATTTTTCAGTAATGTTTCTCTTTTTAAAAATAAGTTAACGTCAAAGTAGAAGACATCTAGACCTTTTATATATAGCGACTTACGATATCAAAAATAATTTCACTCTACATCCAAGGAATAGTCAATTATATAATTATTAATAATTGTGATTGCTTTTCAAAATTGTATTGTTATACATTCGGAATTGATTTTTCAAGCGAAAGAACCATTACACACGACTATTTATTTTTAATTGATTCTCCGTAGTCTGTTTCAGCTCTATTAACTTTACTTTCATCGGCTGAATATTGGTGCCTATCCATTCTTCAATCATCGACGAAAAGAAAATCGCTTCCATTTGAACTCGCAGATAACCTTCCAAAGAAGACAATTCCAATAATAATCTGGAACGACCATACCATGTACCCGGAATTTGCATAATTAATGTCATTTTCACACAGACGATTACTGTGAAAGTACTTACTCCGTAAAAGCAGGTACCAAGTTCTCCAGTTGCATGGGATTTGTGTAATTATTTGCCACTTGCCATGGATTCATCCACGTCATAATTCTGTCCGGAAACAATATTACTTTATAAATACAATCGATATTCGACTTAATCTCTCAGCTTCTTTGGATTTCTAATATTTAAGGATGTTTAGTACCTACAATAGTAGCAAAAAGTTAAAGGACTGATTTTGACGAATATGCTCTTCTCATATAGTTTGAGTAATAAGGATTGTGCAGAATGTTATTATTTACTCAGAACTAGAGCGCAGAAATGCTTCTGTTGCTTTTTTCCTGAGAATTTTCGAATTCTATGGCCAAATCTAACCAAAAATTTAAATTAAAATCCTTATAACTTTGGATTGCTTCAGTGAATCGACTA